AGGCGGGCCGGCCATCAAGACATCCACAGGCACGGTAAGATCTTCCAGCTTGATCTGGGTAATGTCACCACTCTCTCCCAATTTGATGCCTTCCAGGCTACCCTCCAAAGCCATCAGCGCATCGGACAGGTTAGACAAAATGTCACAGCTGTTGGTCAACTTGTAGCAGACACCCACCTCCTGCAGAAAGCGACCACCATTGTTGATCCCAATGCATGGGGCACACACTATCAACGGTCGGCCAAGCTCGCAGCGACCCAACCCTTCCATCCATTCACATGGCACATGGAGACCTTCAAGGTCACTAGGAGCAAATCTTTTCCTAGCTGAGAACATCGCTAACACGCTGATCTCTGACAGACCTGATCTCAAACAGAGCTGATCTCAGAGAGGAAAAGCTACGCTATGAGAGCAATTCAAACTGTCGTGCTTGAAGGCAATCCAAAAGGCACTGTTCAGCGCAATGCAAAAACACAGCATTGTTTACTCTCACTTAGTGAAGGTACTTCGGCCAGTAAGGCAGCAAATCTGAACCTCACTGATCTACACCACGCTGATCTCAGACTTGTCTGATCTCAGCCCCGGCAGGGGGATCCCGAACAACGATCTAACACTCTAAAAAGCTTACAGGTCATTTCCAATTGAGCTCGTGTCAATCGGACCTGATCTGAACACATGAGCGCTGATCATCAGTCCGCCGGTTTTGATCATCATTCTGGCACTCCGTTCTGCTCTGCATTCACCTCTTCTTGGGCAGCCTGGTTGGATTTGGCTCGCTCGCGTTCTTTCAGCAGCCAGTGCAAATCCTCATCTTCCATCAAGTTTGCAGCGCGCATGATTCTCCGCTTCTTCTGTAGCTGCAGCTTCAGGTTTCGAGTCATTTCTTTCAGATCCTGTTTGAGCTTTTGTCGTTGGCTCTTTAGCAAGTCGACATCCTGAAGTACCACTTTCCCTCGTCTACGACGCGGTTTTGGCACTGCTGCAGGAGAAGCCATGGACCGTAGGTCAACTAATCGTGGATGCAAGAATGAGACCCTGAAATGGCTGTGAAACCCGAGGACCAATTCTGTTCCCCCGGCAGTAGGCTCTGACTGCTATTTTTTCATTATTGGTGGCAGTCCGTGCACAGACCTCACTTATGCAGGTGAAGACCATGGTCACCTGGGGATATGCGGCCCAGCTAGTGTCCTCTTCTTTACAATGCACCTAGCCATATATCTTCTGGCCACTGTTATTCCAGGAGATCGCATTCGTTTTTTGGTTGAAAACGCAGGCTCTATGCGCAATGAGCATTTTTGCTTTATTCGTGCATGTTTAGGGCTCCGGCACACGCCAAAAGCAAGGCTTACATGGTGCACCTCACTCATCTCCCCTGCAAAAAGACTCCGTATCTTCTTTCAGAACAATACCTTGCACGAGAGTCCTGATACACAAGTTACTCCAGTCGAAGATTTAGAGTGGACCCAAGACTGGAGCCCCCTTGTCAGACTTGAAAGGGGCACGTTAAGGCAAGTCCCCTTACAGCCATTTATGAGACCAATAGCGGTTTTAAGTGATCTTGCTTTGCGCTATAGTTGGTCTAGCTATCATCCGGCAGCGCTACTGTGGCGCATCTCTCATTGGCACACCAAAGAAGGTCTCGCAATGATAGCCAATCTCTCCTCTGACAATGGGATACCTAGTTTCCATTGGAATTCTATCATACCACCAATATATCAAACGGCATGGAGACATCTTCTTAAGTGTTTTGCTACCTAGACCCTCCAAACATGTCCGCGGGACACCGTTCCTACAAGAGGCATCGTGGTATGTCTCCTGTTGTAAAAACTTGTTGTGTGTAGATGGCTTCACGTGATCATGATTGATGAGCGCAGCACATGCGTCGATGTCATCGCGTGATCATGATGAGCGCAGCGGGTGCGATGTTATCTCGTGATCATGATTGATGAGCAAAGCGCGTGCGATGTTGTCGCGCGATCTGCTTCATGAGCGTAGCACGCATGCAGAAAGAGCACCCCCCCAAAAGCAATTGCACAAAAACACGTGCAATTGTCTTTTTTACTATATGCTTTGAAGTTAAAGTGTTTGTTATAACGAAAGGTCAGACGCAAACGCGTTTCGCCGTGCGGAGTTTGAAACACCAGCTCGGTTCTCAAGCCTTTCTTGTAAAACCCGTGGTATCAACAAGATGTCTTTTCCACAAGAAAGCCGTGTGCCCAGGAAAAGTGTTTCAATGATTTACAAAAGGGGTGGTGTGCAGCCATTTGGCTTCTGAACGCGGTGCTGCGGTGCACGCCTGCCGCGTGCTGAGCTCAGTTTTTCCCCACACCCCGCCACACGGTTGGCTCACGCTCGCCGGCGCGGCCCAGGTGGCAGCCCCTGCGTTTCCTGGGCTCGGTGCTTGTGGCGACCTGTCCGGGTGAACCTGTTTTTCCGATTATCGTCGCAGGGTCGAGATGCGAGTTTTGAAAGCTAAAGCTATATATATTGTATGATTGTCTAAACATAAACCTATAAAAAAGCTGGCGCTACCGAATATTGGTTACAGCCATCTTGCAACTGTGAGCTCCATGGCAAAGCAAAAGCACGCCCAGCTTCCAGCAACTGTTTGCGGGCTCGGTAGTTTAAACTTGTAGGCCAGGCAGGTCATGGAGCTTCCCGCTGCCGCACAGATATCAACATGGAAAAGTGTCCGCCCCTATCCTGTATTCATAAGTTTTTTTTTGTTTGGGTTTGACTGGTGCCTGCGTCTTCAAAAGGTAGGTTACTGCAAGGGCGACAAACGCTCAGGTGCCGGGAAGGTTCCATGGAAGGAAGAAGATGTCAGGGCACTGGCATTTGAACTGAAGGCAGGCCTACCCCTTCCAGTGGTGCAAGTGCTGACCAGCGCTGATTGGCGTGGCGGAAAGCTGACCCAATTGGATGAACTGGTGAAGCCTAGTGTCGAGGACATCAAGTTGAACTTTGCTTGGGTGGCGCCTTTTGTAAAGGCCTCGCCTGACAAAGTTCCGTCAGGCTTCATGATAGCAGACACCTTCCTGATGTGTGACCAATTCTTCATGGGCAAACTCCTGCAGCCAAAAGAAGCTGGTGACACAAAGCAGACCCTCGCATGCGCAGAGGCGACCAATTGCAAGCGGCTGATTGGCGTTCGAGTTTCTAGCGTTTGCATTTTCTTCTGACAAGTTGTTAGGTTCCTATTTGTTGCCTCTGATCGCTGCACGTAAAAGGTTCACGAGTTTTTGTGCGCTTGACAGTGAGGCAAGCTTGGCAACCACCCTCAGATCACCTACTTGAAGAGCTTGTTGGTGAGGTCTCCCACTCGGTCACGCGCCGAGGAAGAAGATGCTGCGCAGAAGGTTGGTGAGGAGCATGCTGATGACCAGCAGCCTTTGAACAATGGGCCTGCTGAGGGTGGATCGGATGTGGAAATGGTTGAGGCTGATAGCCAGGATGTGGTTAAGGCTGATAGCCAGGATGTGGTTGAGGCTGATAGCCAGGATGTAGTTGAGGCTGATAGCCAGGATGTGGAGTCCCAGGGCAAGCCTGCCATAGGTGACAGTATCTTCGAGGCTGATGGTGACAGTGACTGCAGCGACTTTGAAGTTGAGAAGACAGCAAATCCCTGCATTGTTAGTGTCCTCATTGTTTTTGATCTCTCATGTAGGACAGATGCAGTCTGACGCCTAGATAGTGTGTTGCCCCATTGCTCTTTACCATCATCCCTTTTTGGATGTCTGTTTGGGGCCGTGAAGGATGAAGATCCACTTGGTGCCGCAATCGCCCAAGAATCTAAATCTCCAGCTTCGGATTCAGATGGCTTGGATGCTCCCACTTTGCGGTTGGGGGCGTCTGACCCGGAGAGTGAAGCCGAATCAGAGAAGGATTGCATCATGGAGGCGCCGCGCAATATGCACATGTTTGAGTCTCCCGAAGCCGGCCATTCAGGATGGCCAAGGAGCCACATTGTGGAAATGTGCATGGCGCTGATGCAGCACCTTGCAGCTGAGAAGGATCCGATCATGCGGTAGCCCTTCCTTTGCTCAAAAGATTTTCTTTGCTTGGGCTTTCTTGTCTGTGATGAGTTCTCATTTTGTTGCGTTTTCTGGCACGCGCTGCCCAGGGCACAGCATCTTCCGGAGTACGCGAGCCACTGCGAGTGGGCCTACAGCAAGTATGGGTTGAAGGCGTCGGTATGGTTGGGGTCACGTGACCACATTGAGATGTGGGAAGAACGGTTCTTTCACTCGCAGAAGGCGTCGTCTGTGAAGGTGAAGGAGGAACTGGAAGAGGAGGTAGCTAAAGCTAAGGACCTATGCCTCTTCTGCCACAATTTTTGACGAATGTGTTCAAAACAAGTTTCAATGGTTTTCGCATGTTTTCGCTAATTACTAATCATTTTCTGTGCCTCTTACTAAGTAAAGCTCTCGCGTTGCAGGATGACAAGATTGCTCCGCCCTGTGAGCCGCCTGCCATGAGCATTGACGATACGTCCCAAGTCCGTTGCTCCAGCAGTGTGAAGCGGAAACTTTTTGTTCAGGAGCCTCGTCCCATATATGAACGTTCGCTATAGTATACTATAGATTACATACTATTTATATATACATCTTGTTTATATATACATCTTAATTATAGTAAAGACATACGCACATATGGTAAAACCGGGGTCCAACCCACTATAAGTATCAATCTTGCACCCTCTCCAGGATGATGGCCAGTGTCCATTGAACAAGGCTTTGAAGTCAAGCGCTGAGTCGGGCACCGCAAAAAATCTTGGAGGTGCAACAGCTACGAAGTTACCTAGCTTGGAGACGCCACCTCACACACCACACATTCAATCTGCTTTCAGCGATGGCCAGATCACCCCATCACCGATTGGCTTGCAAACGGTTCCTCACTTCCCATTACTTGTGGTAAATTGTTGGCATTCTTTTTGCCCCACCTTTTGACAAGGTTGTTTTAGCCCATTTGCGCCAAATCTCCTTCTGCTTCAATCCCAGGTGAAAGGCGCGCAGAAGGCCAAGCAGGCCAAGCAAGAGGCAGATGGAGCCGCAGGTCCTGAGTCGGATGGGTGCTTGGGGGAAAAGCACATGTTCCAGACCTTCAACCTGCAAGAGCTTGGTGTGCCAGCTCAAGCGTGGCCATGTGGGCCCACCAAGGGCAAGCTAGGGTATACAGTCAACACCTCCAATGGTGCAGTTTCTCAACAAAAAGTTGGTATGAGCTTTTTTTTTATCTTTAGGGCACCGGGGGGTTTTTTCTTAGCGCATCCATGCACAAGTGTTTGTGCGCGCAATGAACCCCTTGTTGCGCTGAGGCCATCGAAGTATTGTGCAAGACCCGGGCTTTTGTGGTGAAGCGTGTTGGTGGGCATGTCGAAGGTCAGACCAGCAAGGGCCAGGTGTCGTGGAGCAAGTTTCCCACTGTCCAGGCTGCGTGGGAAGCAGCAAAACTCCGTGCCAATTTTGGTGGATAGGATGGGGTCTTCTCTGTGAACAGAGATTTATTGGGAACATCTCCAAAAGGGAGGTGAACGGCGAACATGAACAGTCTTTCAATTTCGAGTTTCCAGAGATAGCGGTCGGGCTCAACTCTGACTCTGACAGTCTGGCCTCCTTTGGATCTTAGATTCCTGACCGTTCTTGGAATTGGGGAAAAAGCCAAGAGACATGTCCCAGTAAAGAAGGAAACGCGTGGTGAGGGCAAAGGCACCACAAACCACTCCTTGGATCGCGGCGTTCCAGGTACCTATAACGTCTTTGTCACCTACCCGCCCTAAGAGGAGGCCACATATGACATGTTCAATTTGCACACATCGAAACACGAAACGAAAGCCTTTTTTGTAAATCGGTAAGAACTAGTAACGGAATAATATTGACAAGCCAAGGGTCTTGCCTCAGCCATGATCTGACAGAAGTGCGTGCAACCTTGGATGGTAGCTCTGCCAGGCCTACATCGTGATCATCGTCTACCCGGCTATCCCACGCTGGTGCAGCCATCTGGAGGCCACGTGACCCTTTCATAAGCCATCAGCAGTGTATCAACAGAACCCTCTCTCGATTCTTGTGCATTGGACGTGCAACACAACAGTACACGACTCATGAAATTGGGGAAGTTCCTGGAGGTGCTAGAGTCAAAAGTCGTTTTGAAGAGTTTCTGAATCTGTTTTGTGCGTTTTGTTGTTGTCCGTCTGTGTTCGGATCCGCCCGGATGAGTTCGGAAGAGTTTCGGTTGCCTTTTGTGTGCAGTGTGTGGATTTGGAACCTCTTGCTGAGTTGACAGAACTTTAGTGGAAGGACGTGTCCGAGAGCAGTCGTTGAGGTCCGACTAGGTTCGGAGGTGTAGGATGACTGTTTTTTGTTGATTTAGGAGCCTTCTGTTCTGTGGTGCAGTGTTTTGAGTTTTGCGGAATTTGTGTTGTGCACGTTTCTTGGAATCTGGATGAGCATTCACTGAGGAATTCTGTTTGCTTCACCGAATGTCCGGATAGCTACCTCTTTCCTAAGGAAATTGAGATGATTGAACTGTAGAGACCTTTTGTTGTGGCACTTTTTCCTTGTTTGGACTGTTCTCTGTGTCTTGAGACAGTGGAACTGAGTGATGAACGCCCGCGGCCATTTTTGCTTAAGAAGGCAGCAGAAGGAAGTCTACTGGTGGCCATGCACCAGGCGAAGGGGTTTTGTTTGTGTTTGAGGACATTGGAAACCGTTGATGTGAGCTGCAATAAGGAGTCGCGAACCATGAGTAGCTAGATCAGGGGTTTGAGTGTCAGACATGTCCAGTTGTCGTGTTATGATGCCAGGGTTTGCAGGGTTGAGACGCCAGAGAAGACAGTTTGAGACTTCTGTTGCTGCAGGGTTTTTGGAAGCAGTTGTCCAAAAGGGTGAAACATTCTTTTTCCAGGGTTGGTAGCGTCTTCGAGGTTTTAGAACATCTCTTCTTCCTTGGTTTGTGTTGAGTTGTTTGGTTTCTTGTGCTGTGTGCTGTGTGGGAGAGCAAGGGTATGCTTGGCTTCGACGGTTCAATGCTCAATTCAACAGCCTGTCAGCCTAGCTGTGTGATTTTCGAGCTTTGATTTGCGCACTTGGTGTTTGGGAGCGTCATGGCTACTGTCGAGCGCCCAGAGGTTGAGATCGTGTCGGGTGAGGCACCTGCTGTCGCAGGCGCAGGTGAAGTGAATGAGGTTGCCGTTCCTTCGCCAAAGGCATCTGGACCTGCTGGTCCACCGGCCACTCCTTCAACTGTTGTGGGAGGAGGAGATCCCAACATGAACGGCCACACGGTCACTGGACCATTGATGGTCGATGTCGACCTCTTGGAAGTGCCACTTGACAATTTGTTGGCGCTTGGCATGGGGTCAGCAGAGCCTTCGGATGACCTGGTGTCTAACACCTGCTTCGAGGTGTCCAAAGCTGAATCGGAACGTTGGCACCGAGCAGCCTATGCGGCTCAGGAAACTGTCTATGCCATCCAGTCTGATCGAGATGGATCAGGTGGCCCGCATCCACAGTGAAGCTCCGGGTACTGAGCTCGATGAGACTCGTCTTCCTGATGAGAACGGACCACGATCAGGCATGAGTTATCGCGAGTTGGGAATCAGGCGGCGTGCCATGGTGATCCGCCAGCAGCAGTTGCGCGCGGGTGCCAGCTTTTGGGCTTTTGTATATTTTCAAGGCCTAGTTCAGCCGGAGACCAGCGATTTCGCTCCGATTAGTTCCCTCCCGGAATCGGCAAGAGGCACAGCACTAGCCTCGGCGGATTACTTGCGACATGCTGCGCTGGTGCTTAGGCAGGTTCTCCAAGCTGGGAGATCTATATGCTCACATGTCGGAGTTTATGACTCAGCTACAAGAGAACGACACCAGCTCGAAGAAGCAATTCAACGTGTTGGCCGAAAAGATCCACGAGCTCGCTGGCGCGATTGTGGGAGTGCAAAGTGCGACGCGGGTTGCAGTGGATGATTCCAAGCAGAATCAGAAGCAAACCCACAGGACTCTTGAAAACATGCTTTGGCAGCTGGCCGGCCCAGGCAAGGCGGTCAATCAATCGATGAAGGATGTTGTGGTTTCATCTGCAAAGATGATTCAGCAGGTGGAACAGCATCTATCGAAAAATGTCCGCATCGCCGAAAGCACCTCAGAGAGTATGGACAACATGGAGACTCACCTTGCGGCAATCAGCGGCCATTTGCAGAAGTTGGTGGAACTGCAATCCAAGTCGACCAAGACAGAGGATCCAAAGGCCTCAGCCAAGTTGCCACCACCCCCGATTGCACCTGCGGGTAGGAATGTGACACCTCAGGTTGCGCCTGCTGGTATGACTGTGCCGCAAGCGACTCAGGGAACGGCAGCCCATCCTGTCCAGCCGAAGTTGATGCCAGGTTCCTTGACCCCTCCGGGACCGTCAGGATTTCCTCCGAGCCCCGTGTACCCTCCACAGGCCTTTACAGCTGGGCTCTATGGGACTCCGCAGACGCCAAACGTACCAGGAGGATCAAGTGCCGCGGCCGCGCCGCCAGCGGCCCCTGTGTACAAAAGGGTTAAGCTGGCAGATGGATCATGGAGCTGGGCTGTAGAGCTGTAGTGCTTGAGATGAGCTGTGTATAGCCTAGCTTTGCTTGAGAGTGTTTGGAGATGCTTTCTTGTACTTTTAGTATGTTTTGGACGACTGTGACCAGTCAGACCTCTTCAGAGAAGAGAAGGACGAACAGACATACAGTCAAACCGACTGTTATGTTTGGCTCAAGAGCGGGATTCGCAAAAGGGTCGCACTCGCTTCCGTGTTTTCACAGTCTCTCCACAAGATCTATGATGCCTGGCGGTGGAAGATTGAGCTGAACCAACCGGAATCCCCCCTTCGCCTCCCCCCCCCGGCCAGGCCTGCTACAAAATGGTTGCTACTGGCAGCAACTGCATGCCCGCCTCGCGGATGCCGCCCACACGCACAACACACAAGACAGTGCTGCTCTGGCAGAAATCAGCCTCATCAGACGAAAGTGCAGAACCAGCACTCCCGACAGAAGTACCTGAGCCTGTCAGCCCAGAAGCCGAATGAATCCCCAACCTCCCCTGTCACAATTGGCAGCACAGAAGAAGAGCATGACGGCTCCCAGCCCAATGCCACAGAGCCATCTGAAGAAGCGACGCCAGCCGCGACAATTGCCTCTTCCAGTGAAGGAGACAAAGCGCAGGAAAGGCGCACTGGGACCGTTGCGAGTCCGGACACCAGTGCAGCAGCTTTTGTTGTTGAACAAAGAGGGCAGAGTGAGGGGGAGCATGCAGAGGAAACTGAGAGTGGCACCACGGACAAAGTGATTGACCTTGACAACAGTCCTGAAGCCATCCCTGCATACCCTGCAAGGTCGCCCTCTGCAGGCACAAATGCAGCAGCTAGTGATGGTAATAAAAAGAGCAATGGTGGTCACCCGTATGGTCGCCCTCTTGCATCTTCTTCGAATACCAGCCCCATTCACCTCCCTGCAGAGGAGAAGAAGAGGCGAAATAGATGGGAATCAAGCTTGCCAGCCGTCTCAGCAGCCCCTCCTCACGGAGTAGACCAGACAGTAAACCCTACCTCAGTCCCACCAGCCCGGCGGAGCCGGAAAGCAGGAGGTCAATGGAGGATCCCGCCCCCCACGTAGCCCCACGACCAAAGAGGCAAGGGCCCCTAGCAGTCAAATCCAAGGCAGCCAAACCTGCCGCAGATCAGCAGAAGCGGGCTCCAGGACAAGGGCTGATCGAAGCAATTCACTCCCGACTGCACACATCCGCAATGCCCGCCACAGGTCTACTCAGCATTGCTGCAGCAAGACCTTCCATGACTGGTGTCGCAAACCCACAAATGCCTGCGACCCCTCCTGAAAACCCAGGCCCTCACACACCAACCAAGGAGGATGCCCCTACTAAAGAACTATACCTCCACGAGACAGAAGATCAGGCGGGATCAGTGAACGCAGATATCACCCATCTTGCAGAGCAAAGAGCCATGCAAATGGTGCATCGATACCAAACACTATCAGTCGAGACATAACTCAAGGTGCATGGTTGCCATACATACTTCATTTCAAGCGGTTCTTGACGACCTGGTGTTGTATCCACACCTGCAGCCGCGTTGGCTCTCAGCAGCCGCAGTCACTTCTCCAGGAGCCTAAGCACGCCAGTGCAGTCCACCCGTGTGGAAGGCACCTTGAGTTGTGGTAGTCGCGCTGAGGCGTTTGAAGCCTGTATTCTGCTGTGTACAGTAGCGCTTCCACGGCAGCTTCACAGCATTGGACACAGAGCTTTTGCAGGGTGTAGCAAACTAGTATGCCTCACCTATCGCGGCGCCGAGGCCGACAGACGCCGTCTACAAGTAGCAGCCAATGCCTTCGAAGGGTGTCAGGCACTAACCGTCCCCGGAGGAATCTGCTATTTATCGGTACGGGGTAGTCAACGCACCCAAAAACACGTCCCTAGGAGAGGGAAAGAGGAGCTAGCA